TATATATAAATTTTTTTTTCCAAATATCAAAAACACCCCTTTTTTTTTGGTATATCTCTATTATATTTTTTTTTTATTGCCTAGCATCAGGTTGTTTTTTTTTAAATATCAGCGACGGTATCCTTTTTTTTCTTGGGTGTTTTTGATATTTTTTTTTTTATATTTATATATATAAAAATTTTTTTTTATTTGTGCAAAAGGCTGTATTTTTTTTTTATGGGCTAAAATTATATGTTTTTTTTTAATATCATGTATAACTGCAATTTTTTTTTACTGTACAAGTAAATAATGTTTTTTTTCAACTGTAAAGAAATTCAGTTTTTTTTTGCAATCTTCAAATTGAGTATTTTTTTTTTTGTTTATCCTGTAACTTAGTTTTTTTTCATATTATAAGAACCTGCTATTTTTTTTTTGGTTAAAGAGGTTCTTATTTTTTTTTGGGAACTAGCGGTAAACTAGTTTTTTTTTGCGTCGGTGTTTCTAAAGATTTTTTTTTGTAAAAAGATACAGTTATGTTTTTTTTTAAATTTAACACCGTAAAAATTTTTTTTGAATAACTTACTGACGTTTCTTTTTTTTATCCTTCGTCTTATTTAAGGTTTTTTTTTTATTAGAATGGCAAATAATTTTTTTTTAGAGGTTCTTAATCCATTAGTTTTTTTTTTTCAGGTGTTTACTGTATATTTTTTTTATAGCCATGATGACTTTTAATTTTTTTTAATAAGTACTCCAGTAGCTATTTTTTTTATTGTGGTGTGCATTTCAAATTTTTTTTTCTTCAAATCCCCCAACTTTTTTTTTTTTCATCCTCATAATAAAACCTTTTTTTTTCATAGCAATACTTGAGATCATTTTTTTTTACAGAGCTTTTCTTAAATGTTTTTTTTATGGATGCTAGTTAACTGCATTTTTTTTAAAGAATAGCCATCATGATTTTTTTTTTCAGTGAAACAGCTGTTGATCTTTTTTTTCTACTGCTCATCCTTCTGGTTTTTTTTTTAATGGTCATATTGTCATTGTTTTTTTTTTACAAGCAATGGAAGAAACTTTTTTTTAATTGTTTGTGGTTGTAAAATTTTTTTTTTATCATTGCAAGGTTAATGTTTTTTTTGCTTTTATCATAAAAGTGCCTTTTTTTTTTGCAGATATGAGGAAAGAGTTTTTTTTGCTCAACTATTGGAATAAGCTTTTTTTTCCAAGCTTATCTGGACCAAATTTTTTTTCTCTCAACAAATTCCCTGTTTTTTTTTTTGTCAATGCCATTTGCCCACTTTTTTTTAATGCCATCTTTTGTCATGCTTTTTTTTCTATTTACCTCAACATATTTTTTTTTTTAACAATTGGAGACAAGCATGTTTTTTTTTAAATCTGTCAACATAATGCTTTTTTTTAGTCCTATGTGTGTCAGACATTTTTTTTTGCTAGCTATAAGCTCTACGTTTTTTTTCAGTAAGCCCAAAAACTGATTTTTTTTTAACGATTTTAGTTTTGTACATTTTTTTTTTAGACTTGTGATGCACTCCTTTTTTTTTCTGAAACATCGAGTCAAATTTTTTTTTTCTAAGTCAATGCAGTTTTCTTTTTTTTCAATGAGCGATTTAGGAGAGTTTTTTTTACAATCAAAAAGATTCAGCTTTTTTTTTTGAGGACAGAAAACTGCAAGTTTTTTTTTGACAACGCTTGTCAACACATTTTTTTTACACAAATCAAGCCGTTGTATTTTTTTTTTTCGTCTTAGAATGGAAACTTTTTTTTTGTCTTCTAGAAAAAACTTTTTTTTTTTCAGAATTAATACTTGAAGAGTTTTTTTTTTTAAAGTTAGACGTTCCAATTTTTTTTAATTGAAATCGGCTTTAGATTTTTTTTTGTTGATGTCCATGATAGTATTTTTTTTTAAGAACCATTGACAGAGATTTTTTTTTTATTTACAGACTCTTCGACATTTTTTTTTCTCGTCCATACAAAGGCAGGTTTTTTTTCTGTCAAATATTATGTCTTCTTTTTTTTGATCAAAAAATGTCCATGAATTTTTTTTCATTTTTGTTTCTGTTTTTATTTTTTTTTCTTCTTCCATTCAACATGATTTTTTTTGCCCAACTCAACTAAGGGAATTTTTTTTGATGCAGTCGTCGAACACTGTTTTTTTTGGCTACAATTTTCCCTTTCTCATAACAAAGATCTTTTCTTTCATACTCTTTTTTTTTTGACGACTCAGTTCGATGCTTTTTTTTTGGTCACTGAACCTGAAAAATTTTTTTTTAAGAAAGGGTTTTAAATTATTTTTTTTTCCTACAGAACCTCTGCAGGTTTTTTTTATAAATATAAAAGATGAAAATTTTTTTTAAAAAACCCTGTTCGTTCATTTTTTTTTTTCTTGAAATTTATAGTCCCTTTTTTTTAAATAATGATTTAATGTTGATTTTTTTTCAGAAAAAAAGTTATTTAATTTTTTTTTTTTCAATTCTTGTAATTATTTTTTTTTTTTAGTGATTGTGACTCACATTTTTTTTTAATCTAGTCGCCAATAATA